AGTTGGGGTCACTGTCCTTCACCTTCAATAACTTAAAAACTACCGGCCCCAGAGATACGAAACGAAGTCGAAGTCTAGCTCAGGTTTGGCCAAACAAGGGTACGAGGCGGGTCTCGCGATCCGTGCGTGATTTGTAGAGCGAAAAAAAAATTCCAAAGTTGGTCACGCAGGGCTCGTGTGACCCGTCGCGAGCGTCGCGGCGGGGGTCACGCAACTGCTGTGTGACCCGTCTGAAGTGAGTTAAACATGTGGAAAGACAAATGGTGACGGAAGTACTAATGATGCCGTACTTGGTGGCGGAAAGACCCTGAGTTGTCCGTTGCCGTGTACTTAGACACTGCTATTGGATAGATCTAATGAGAGTGCAATCAGGGTTAGGCCTATAGGTCGGTGAGTATCACTCCCTGAAGTGCTCAGTAAACCAATTTTCTTTTTTTTAAAGTTCACTTCATCATCATAGTTTATTGACAGAATGCGCAGTAAGTATATAATATTTCATGAATCGACAAAAAGCGCTGCGCGATCTGCTGATCAACAGAATGCGCAACAATGGATGGATTGTCGCGCGCTTTCTCGATCAACCAAATGCGCTGCGCGTTCGATGGATCGCGCAAATCGATAGATCGCGCCCAACATCTACACTTTCAAATATAAGAGCACTCCAGGTATGGGTTGGCTATTGTTGACTATTAGTAATTACGGAAATTTTAGCAGCAGCAATATTCCGCTATAACCGACTAGCATGTTTGTCTGATTGGGTTATAGCAGTATTTTATTTACATAGGGAAAGAAGAGGAAAAAACTGGGTTTTAGTATAACAGACCTCAATATTTCCGGACTCGTTATAAGTGGACTCCACTTAGACCTGCATGTGAGCCTCAACCAGATTGTCTGAAAATTTTGCGCAACAAAATTCAAAATGGCCGCTTGAGCCCGAAACTGAAAGTAGAAAATTTAGGTTGTCGTCCTTTTTCGTATTCGTATTTCTACTCAGGTTCCGACAATTATGTCAGAAATGCTGACGTCGGCAGAACTGTCGACAAAGCCAACGGGAGAAAAAGGGGGCGCTGGCAGTCGGCCAGGCCTCGCACAACGCACATTGACTAATACAAGTGGGCCTAGCAATAGCATCGGCCGGCTCGCGGGTCGGGTCGCGATTGGCAGATTTCAAACGATTGTCGGCAAACATGCAGGTCTATCCCCTGTATGGCGTTAGAACAGGCCAAAAATCGGTAGATTTAGGCAGCCTTGTCAACGTATCAAGCTATCGAAGAAATTTTTGCTGCTGATGATAGCGGTTCATTCATTTCCCTTTAAAATGATATAGACATTATTTTGATATAAAGATTATTGTTGTGGATACTTGGCCACTTTTCACCAAAATAATCTACATTTTCTCGGGGTGCGGGGATCTCGCGCTGGGAAAGCTCACGGCCCGTGAGGGGACAGTCGGACGACAGAGAGAGAAGAGGAAGGGTCAGAGCCAGGGTCTACCCACTTTGCGGGAAATCTACTATGCACAACACTTGTTGAAATAAAGTATCCAGCTCCTACGGTAAGAGTTTCGCTTTTGTTATTTATAAGTGTTGGTTTTAAAAAATATGGTAGAGCTGTGTTCCGTAACAATCATTATTTTTTCTTAAATCATGAAGTATCACATCAAGGACATCCCCCCACCCCCGTCAGTCCCAAAAGACACTTCAACCAGTGTGCATTAAATTGACCCCGTCAACGGATGGTTCTCAACACAAGCGGAACTCGCACGCCGAAGTCATATGATGCGAACGCATGAATGAAACAGTTGATGGCGTGCTTGACAAACCAGAATTTGGACAAAGCTTGTTTTGAAAGTAACAGCAAAACTATTAATAGTATTGATAATTTGTATGTCACAATTGAAACAGTTATCAGGCCATCATCAGAGAATTCTGGGTGGAAACAAAAGCCAAAGTAGTTCTTGAGTTGTCCCAAGTCGTAATACCAAATCCGTACTACTTCCATTATATTTGAAATAACACATGCGAGCAAAGACCCAACACAACTTGGGGCGAGTCAGCTACTAAATTCGGATTCGAAAGTTCGGAAAAATGTGCTCAGAATTCCTGCTGACGAAACGTTTAACAGGTGCTTCCCCTGGCAGAGAAGAAGGCAGAGTAGGTTTCTAGAAAAATCCATGGTAACCATGTTTGTTTAGTCTCTAAAACAGAAACAATCTCCTTCAAAGTAGACTGTAGTGTCTGTAGAGTGCCCCAAACTTTTCCAGTAGGCTTGCTAGATCTAGAATCTAGATCTAGCAGCAGTAAAAAAATTCCAAGTGAAGTCTTTCGTTTTTCGCTTTCCAAATGTCAGTCAGACAAAGGCAGAGTCCTTAAAACTATAAATGAGTCAAGTGAAAGAAAGCAACAACGACAATGTACACTTCTGTAAAGCCACTTCAGTGTTGAATGAACATTATTGATCTGGATATTGTGAAGTTATCCCTGTAATATATTGAACTTGATCAAGTTCAGTACATGGTTAAGAAATCCGGACCTAAAAATCCAAATCGGCACCATCTTATTGTTTATCTTACACTCAAATTCTCCAATTCTCTGACTTGCAACAACCGAGAACTTGCTGCTTTGAAAATCTAGATCTAGAATCGAGATCTACAGCAGGAACACAGAAACTCATAACATAAACACTAAGCCACTAAGCAGACTGCCAGGAAATCCGGCAGGTAAGTGATTATTGTGACTGACCAATGGCGACCAAACTACGGGGCTCCCAGTCGTCCAGGTGAGTGGGCACACATGCATGTGTCACAGCATTGACAGTGTAGTGTAGAATCTCATGTAGAGTGTAGACAGTGTAGTCATGATGAAACAACAATCAACATTCATCCTTCGAGGTTGACTTCATAAACAACACCAGTGTTAATCTTTTCACTTTAAAACTGAAAAACACTTTAGATTAACAACACTTAAATACAACGACATAAGAAGTTATTGAATTTGGGACAATTCTGACCATACCCTCGACTCCATTCGTTTGAAGGGAAGGTCTTGCTTGATCTAGGCTACCTTGCCTGGGCAAGTTCAATAAGCTCAACAAGCATGGATCACGGAAACCATTGTCCCGCTACCGATAGCGGGCGAAGCTACCGGTTACAGGCAAACTACGTAATATTGATGATACCTCGGCATCAAACAAACTATCAACCAACAGATCTATGAAATATGTCTCAAACGTCCACCAAAAAAACGCCCTGGATCACAAAATTTACCTTCTTTAGTGGGCAAACTTTTTCCCACGAGGTGCTCAGTGTTATGGCTGCTGCGGAAAAGGCTGTGATGTCATCAAAGTGTGCGTACTTCCATGCCTAAACTATGTCAATAATCTCTAAACACATTTTTTTACCCTATTCTAGAGGTAAAATGTCCTCTCAAATTAGTTTGTCTGTAGTCAACAATTAATTTGAAATTAAATATATGAAGTTATGAATTATGTCCATCATAATTATTAGTTTTTGTTGCAAGATACGTAAATACATTTATCTGATATCTTTTGAGAGTATGCAGCTCATTGTGGAGTAAAAAGTAGTAAAAATACGGCGCGAAACTTTCTGTTTCGGGCTTTGGTGAGCAAGTCGTCATCAACAGTCAACAAAATCCTAGGCTAGTCAACAGTTGAACAGTCGTGAGTCGTGAGTGAGCGAGTGGACGGACGGGTGAGCGATCATTTCAGCCATTTGGCAAGGAGATCTCAGTTCCCTGTTAACCCCAGTGAGATTACCCAGCCTGACGTGCCCTCCATTTCTGCTCAGACCTACCACAGACGCCACAGAAAAATATCGACATGTCTGCTGAGGGATCTTCATCCTCGTCTGCTCAAGTGGATCCTTCTGAAAAGTATGTCTAATATAATTATAGATCTAGATCTAGATCTAGATCTAGATAATATAGAGTGTAGGGTGGGTTGGGGCAAATTCGACCGATCACTCTACTCGCCTTCTTTGTTAACCGATTATGTCAATTATGATTATTCATCTGCATTCGCCGTACGCCGTGCCGTGTAGATCTAGATTCTAGATCTAATCTAGATCTAGAATCTAGATCTAGTAAGAAATGATTTGTCAAGTTGATTTAATTCATTCAGAAGCTATTTTTCGCATTCGTTGTCAAGAACCGCGATTCCTCAACTGACTGCGTTCCCACCGCAAACGTTTCTTGTTCAAAACAGCAGTTTGACGCATTTGCCTGCATCAAAACTTTCAACTTTCAGTTGAACGTCCAAGTCCTGAAGGGTACATTGATCGACCACGTAGCTGGCCGGTCAAGTGTGACAAGACCACCTGGGCAAGCTCTGAGCATCCAGAGGGAGAGGGAGGAAAAGATGGTGAAGAAAATTTTGGATGCATGCACGAGGGGGTTTTCGTTCATAAAGAGGATATTCCTTGTGAAGGCAGGAACGCTGACGAGGAAGTTGAAACTCAAGATGTGATCGTCAGGGAAATCCCCTGATTTGTCCAAAGCGCGCACATTACTGCACGGTTAGCCATAGTGTGATATAGCTCGATTAAGAACAATCAAATATTTCAAAAGCTAGATCTAGATCTAGTAATTTGCGACGGAAATGTTGATATTCATGTTCATGCATCAATATTTAGTAGACAATGAACAACTTGTCTTATAGCTAAGTGTGAGACAGGAGGAAAACTAAAAGAATTCTGAATGTACTGCCTACCTTCTGTAAGTACTGTTTACTTTTATGTTTACTTTGTTCATTTTGTAAACATTTTTTTTTTCTTGTCCAGGGCTGAAGTCATGAAAAAGGCTGACGGACTGTTGGCTCAGGGAAAGCGGAATATGGTGTGCGGAGAGGTCATGAAAGCTGTCAGTTTTTTCGAGGAAGCAGTTAAAATCCTGTATGTAGAATTTCTTCATACCTTGCCCAGTACTTTTCTTTTTTATTATATGCATGAAATTATGTCTGTGGCTAAGTGGATTTGACACTTTCCCCTTGTTCGAAATGGCTACGTCAAGTTTAGGTTGGCCACGTTCTTACTATTGATACCTGCACTTTGTCCAGCACAAAGTTTATAACCTTGGCTTCTCTTAGCCTGATCTGAACTCAGTGCAACGATAAAAATAGGCTTCGGCAGCCACCCAGGCAGACTTCAAAATGAATTCCTACCAAGCTGAAAATGCTTTTAATGTGACCGGTGACCCACTCGCTCATATGTCCTTATGCCATTGCAAGCGCCATGCAAACAGCAACAGAAGGGAAATTTCTTCTCCTGGGGGGTATTTATTCATATTGTTAAAATATTTTGTTGGTAATTTTAAAATTAATAGAAAAAGTGTTTTGTTTGATTGAATTGTATTGTTTCTAGTTTTCACTGTAAGCTACTGTTCTGTAAGCAGGTGGTTGGAAGGTGCGCTAAGCCATTCTTCTTTGGTATCCCCCTTTTGTTTCTGTCTTGATTTTCTGTACATTATATGACTTTTTGTGATTGTGAATTATGTCACTGTCAATTTATGCATCTCTTTACTCTATTACTCTAAGATATCGAATAAAGGCGATGGGGGTGGACAAGTTGTCCAAAATTAATTTTTAAAAGGAGGAGGGGTTTGGCACATTCAACCTCATACCCCTGTACTAGTGGGAACAAATCTATTTTATTTCTCCTTCAGTGAATAAAAGAACAAGAGATCATGAAATTTTAGTAAGTTACTGTGACAACTTTTCCCATTTAAGAACAAACCAGTTTCATTAAAAAATATTAAATATGTACAAAAATTCTTAAAATGCACAGAAAATTGAGGTAGCCGATATTGATACTAATACTTAGGGTAGTTTGCCATTTACAAAAAAAAAAGGTTCATTCAGATATCTATATCCTAGATATGTTTCACATGGTCGTAGGTGGTGACAAGCTGGAAAATAATAAATATGGGGGGGGGGGGGGTGCACACAAAAAAAACTCCTGGGAATTGGAGGGGGGGGGGGGGGGGTATTCGAAACCTTAGACTATTCTATTTTCCCAGCACCATATATGTCATATGGCTGTCGTGTGAATGTGCTTCTCTTTCCATCAGACAGCCACTCTTTTTTTCTGTGCACTGCACAGCTGTTATTGGGTGCATGTGCCTTTCTTTTTTAACTCAAAAAAACAATTACTGTGTACAGAGTAAGCGAGTGTGGTGAGATGTCAAGAGATTGTGCAGATGCTTACTACAACTATGGAGGAGCTCTCTTAGAGCTGGGTCGCATCGAGACAAATGTCCTTGGGACTGCTCTTGACGGAGGTAAGCTCCCTTTGTGATAGAAGCGTTTCCTGTTGTTGTTACTAATGTGTGTAACATCTTTTGATCACTTATGTATGGTTGTCCCCATATATAAAATAAAAAGTTAAAAGCATGTTTTCTGTTACTGTTGCGGTGAAATTATGTCTTGCGAAACAAATGCAGATATCTAGGCGATTGGCAGGTGCTCTGGTGTAGTTTGCTCCTTCTTTCCTCTCAAACGTCTGTCATCCTGATCTCTCCCTCTTTTTTATGTTTGTTAGCCTGGCCTACGCGTCCACCAAAATAAGATCGTTTCCAGGTCAGGCTAATGTAAGAGGTTTTTTCATGGTGTAGAAGCGACTCAAAAAGATCCGCATCCGCCGACGTCAGACCAGCCAAGACGGAATAAGACAGCTAAACCTATTTTTAGCCCAGTGCGTTATGATTACAAGAACAACAGACAGCACAGGCGATTTATTTATTTATTTATCACTTTAAAAAACTAAAAAGCAACAAATTATAATTATGGGAAACATTGTTGGTAAGTTGGGACGATGAGAGGGAAAGAAGAAGAAAAAAAAGCTGGGGCTGGGGTTCGAACCCACGCTCAAAAATAACGTCTGTCTCCTTACGCAGACACACTGTTCACTCGGCCATCAGAACTTTCCTTAACGAAGGGTAAATTAAGCTTCATATACGGCACTGTTTCAAGAAAGGCAAAGCGACACAATATATCGAGATGTAGATCTAAAATCTAGGCCCAGATCTAGTAGTGGACCGACAGATAATGTCTGGAGAAAACTAAAAATTGGCGGAAAATTGGAACCACTAAACATTAGAGATCGTAGATCTATCTAGATCTAGACGTCCCTAGCTAGGTCTAACATGATCTATTTTTAGCTCTCCCGAGAACGAAATAATGATCTAGATCTAGGTCAAGTGCTTTAATTTCAGGGGGGTTTTTTGCTGTTTTTCAGCACAGATTTGCTATTGTACAATATATTATCAGTGCTTCCACTCTTCCGTATTTTTACGGAAATCCGTACTTTCTGCTAGTTCCGTACTTGTTCCTCCATCATCATCAACTCCCTCCGTAAAAATCTGCAACAGCGTAGGACTACCGAAATTCCGTATCAAAAGATCCGTACTCGCCTTCGTATGTCTTGTATAAGTTACGGATATTTACGGTAATTCTCTCGGCAATAGTTTATGCTATAGAAACCTGCCAGATTGCGCATTTCCTGCAATCGGCCATTATTCTACTCTGCCCCATGCATTCATTGCAGGCTTGTCGGCAGTACATTTTTTAACTGCAGATTGATCAAAATCTGGCGAACTTTTTGTGCCACTTTCCTCCTTTCACAGTCCTCCTTTCTATCATTCCCTCATTCCGTCTATCTTCGGATTGTTGCCACGGCTGGAAGAATCTGCGCGTTGATCAAGTATATTGACATGTGATCTTAGACAGAAAATTACTGTCAGAAAGAATTTTTTTTGCAAATTTATTTTCTAGATCTAGAGAAATTATCATTGCGAAGATTCGGACGAGCGACAGTCGTTCTAACCCTTACACAACTACATGTAAACTGCGCTGGCAAGATTAACATACGGCTGTTGTCGTTGCTTTAGTCTGAACGCATTATGAGGGATAAGAGATTTGTTGGTACATTTGGTCGGTCGGCCGCCGTCGTTATCCTAGAAGTAGAACGACTGTTTCTCATCCGAGTATTTTGTTTGAACGTGCAGTTAGTCGGACCTGTTAGTAAAATTGTTTCAATCGCGCATACGCATCACGTGACATGACATCGCCTGTGGGTTCTGCGTGTCGGGGGCCGTCCGTTGACGGGGTCAACCTAAGTTCACGTATTTCGGGACTTATTGGTTTGGGGGGGGGGGGTAGAGACTTTTGGACTAGGAATGCTTAACGTGATGCTTCAGGATTTACAAAAAAATAATGATAACACGCACGCAAAGACACAGAGAGTATATAGGCCGAGTAATTTATGGACACCCATGGAAAATTTTTAAGTCAGCTTTGGCAGTCACCTTGGTGATCAAATCCCGATTTTTCTCTACCTGAGATCCTAATTTTGAGACTTCATAGAGTGGCAGGTCTGGTAACTGTATTGTGAAGGTACAGCCTACATATATCTATTCATTATTCCCAGGTTTGCCTTCTATCAGTATCAAAGGTGCGATGACAAATTAATTGAATTATAGTAGCAATGGAAGGGGAACCTGCTTTCAAACATTGCCAGCAATGGAAAGATATATTGGTGAAGAAATTAAACAAGACAAAATCTGGGTGAAAAAATAGGTAGTATGGGTTGTTGGCAATCTCTTCAAACAGGCTCCCAAATGCCATTTTCAACCCTCTAAAAGTACTAAATTTCAACCAGACCCCCAGCAGAATTTTCCTTACTTTTCAGCTTCAGCTGGTGGAAGCACTGATAATAATGAGATACAACTTTATAATTGATCATGTAAAGTACAATGAAGAAGCAAAAATGTACTTAAAGATGCAAATTTCCTTCCAAAATGAGTCGAATCGAGGCTTTCTTAGTCCCCTACACGACTGACGAAAAAGCGTGCATGCAGGAAAATCGCGTAGTCAGGCAAAGGCAGTCAGTGACTGACAAAAACCAGCTCATTTGCATGTGAGCTTGGCATGCAAGTGACGAAAAAGCGCAGTGGACGCGGGGCCTAAATGTCTTGTAACATCTCTAATCTTCAGCACTTATATGACCTCAAGTGTTGTTGTGAAAGCAAGTCTTACAAAAAATTTTAATGCTGGTGTTTGGAGGACTAGAAGGTACTGCTGCTTTTATAATTTCCCTCTGTTGTCTATTTTGCCTTTTCCTTGGTCTCTTTGTTAAAATGCTTTTGATCAACAATGTGCTTGTGCTGAAATGTAAAAGATTTAACATTCTTATGTCCAATACAATAGAAGGCTTGTTTTCTGTGGTGAAGCTAATATGTATTGCACATTTCATATTTAAACATTCTACATGCTAACACATGAAGTGCTTGGACTTCATAATACATTCCTTGAAAATTGTCTGTGTGAGATTTACAGACCTGTCACTCATCCTGATTTAGTCTGGATATTCCGATTTTTTTGCCCCAAATCTCAAGCATCCCGATTTTCCTGATTTCAATCGCGTGTATCCGGATTTTTTGTCCTAGTCTGCTGTTGTGCCGGATTTTTCTGAAGACTTACCCTGCTTTCTCCTTTATCATGGGAAGCACCCTTTGAACTTTTTGTCAGTAGGAACTCGGAGCACTATTTCCTGAAATATCGATGCCGCATTTAGTAGTTGACTCGCCCCAAGTTGTGTGTGATCTTTACCCGCGCTCAGAATTCTCCGATGATAGCCTGGTAACTGTTACAATTTGGGACATACAAATAATCGATTATATTCGTAGTTCCGCTGTTACTTTCAAAACAAGCCTTGTCCGAGGTCTGGTAACTGCGCGTTCACATCGAACACTCAGACGAGCGACAGTCTTTCTAACCCTTACACAACTACATGTAACTGCGCTGACAAGACTAACATACGGCCGTTGTCGTTGCTTTAGTCTGAACGCATTATGAGGGATAAGAGATTTGTTGGTATTTGGTCGTCGGCCATCCGAGTGTTCGGTGTGAACGCGCAGTTAGTCGGACCAGTTAGTAAAATTGTTTCAATGGCGCCTTCGCATTACGTGACATGACATCGCCGTGTGAGTTCTGCGTGTCGGGGACTGTCCGTTGACGGGGTCAACCTAAGTTCTTGTATTTCGGGACTAATTGGTGGGGGGGTGTATAGACACTTGGACTTAGAGTGCTTGACGTGATGCTTCAGGATTTACAAAAAAATAATAACGCGCGCATACACACACGCAAACAGACACAGAGGGCATATTGCCGCATATAGGCCAAGTAATGTATGGACACCCCTGGAAAATTAAGTCAGCTTTGGCAGTCACCTGCTGTTGATCCAAAAAAATTTTCTCCCTGAGATCCTGATTTTGAGGTTTCATAGAGTGGCAGGTCTGAATTTATTGTGGGACATGAGACACTGTGATAGAATAGAATTAAATCAAATCAGCAATAAATGTAATTTTCTAGCTTTGTGGTGTTAAGACCTTTAAATTCTAAAGATATTTTTGCATGCCTTATAAGCTTCCAAACTATTTTTTCTTATTTTGACAGTTGATATAGAGGAGGAAAATGACGAGGGAGAATCTGAATCTGATCAGTTTGAGAAGCCTCCTGCCGATGATGGTGAGTGAATCATGTTCCGAAGCCTGCTTTGCAAAAAGCGAGTTTTGGGGGGTGGGGGGTCCTGTGTCAGTTAAAGTGTAGCTTTTTTGTATTTCTTTCACGTGGCCACTCCATTACAAGCATAGTGTGTGCTTGCATATGATCATCTGCTGAGGGAAAGCCAAAATTTGTGTGAAGGGGTATACAGTCGAACCTGCTCTAATAGCCACCTGCCCAAGACGATCACCTGTACAAATGACCACTTCCCACTTCCTCCCTTGCATTTTTTTCAATACTACTATGTCTTGATCTGAGAATATTTAGTATTAAGAGCAGTAGCATCCCAAGACAGCTTGGGGATGGTCAAGGGTGCTTCTAAAAGGTCTACTTATTGCTCTTGTGTGGTTTGCTTGTTCTTTCTTATCAAACATTTATCGTCCTTATCTCTCCTTTTTGTGTTTATTACTTGTGACATGTCTTCTTTGGCACTTATGACATAATTGTTGCAGGTGCTGTAAAACGCTTATTAAAACAAACCGAAAAGAAGTTACTGTGTCAATGTGCTTTTTTTTTGTTTGTTTGTTGTTTTTTTACGGGAAAGATGTTTCTGTAGTAAATGTTGAAGGCTTCGGTCCATTTGTTTCTCGCAGGAGAAGAGCGACAAAAGCTTCGAGAGCAGGTGTATGACGCAATGTGTGAGGATATTAGGAAAGAGGCAAAGAAGGAAAATGGGTCAAATGCTGAGTCAGGGGTTAATGGTGATGTGGACATGGAAGGACAAGACCAAGCAGAAACGTTGCTAGCTGAAAGTGGGGACAAGGGATCAGAAAAAGATGAAAAGAAATCGGACAGCGATGAAAAGAAATTGGACAGTGATGAAAAGAAATTGGACAGTGATGAAAAGAAATCGGACAGCGATGAAAAGAAATTGGACAGTGATGAAAAGAAATCGGACAGCGATGAAAAGAAATTGGACAGTGATGAAAAGAAATCGGACAGCGATGAAAAGAAATTGGGTAACGATGAAAAGAAATCGGGTAATGATGAAAAAGAATCACAAAGCAATAAAGAGACAGCTAGTTGTGAGAGTGGAATGGAGACAGATGCTACAGAATCAAAAGACAACGTGGAACGAGACACTGCCACAGATTCTAATGTGGGGTTGAAAGATGAAGACAGGGTGGAAAAAAATGCCTTGGACACAGATTCTGTCATGAAAGATGAAGACTGTACCAGTGCTGAGAATAGAGAACAAAGCAAGGTACAGGACACCAGTGAGAAAACAGTAGAAAGAAAACAAGATATAGGTGAAGGTAACGGCAAAACTATTGACAACGAAGGAGATTCTAAAAAAGATTCCGACATGGATATTAATGACAAACAAGAAACAAGTTCTGAAAGTAACAAGGAAAATAAAGATGAACCTAAGCCTAAAGTTGATAATCTTACCGAAAATGGAGTCTCTGAGAAAAAGCAAGAAAAGTCCGATGCAGATTTGGGATCGGATGATTGTAACAAAGGTGTGAAGTGCCAGTCATTTCATCCTCTTCAAGATGTGACCGAAATTAATGAAGTGAACAAAGAACAGGGTTCTGATTCAGAGGGCAAAAAATCTGATTCAGTCATAATTGATAAAAAAGAAAAGGAGAAAGAGCAAGACCTAGAGAAAGTTGGTGAGGAGGAGGCAGAGGAAGTCCAGACTGGGGAGAAAGAGAATGATGAAGAGATGGCAGATGATGGTATTTCATTTTGATATATGGAATTTTGTTGAAAGTTTTCACTCACATTTTGAATAAGCATCTGACATCTTTTTTTTTTTAAATTCGTTTAGCTCATGACAGTCGTTTTATTTGAATTGAATTTCTTTGTTTTGTTTCATATTACCTAACCCTTCTTGTAATGCACCATTACCTTAGACTTAGATTTAATTGAAAGGCACATTCATTAAGAGCAGTTTGGTTCACCCATGCTGTGTGTTGTATTGAATGCAATGATCTTGTCTTGTTTTTGTGTGTGTGAGGTTGGCAGGTGCTCTGGTATGGTTTTCTTCTTATTTCCTATCAAATGTCTGTCAGTCTTATCTCTCCTTTTTTTATGTTTGTTACTCTCTTGGAACACCTCTAGTCTTTGACTTATATACCCTTATTATGTTGCAAGTGCCGTAAAAATCTTGCAAAAATAAAACTTGTTTTTGTTGACTGTTTGGAAAACAGCATAAGGCAAGTCCCACTCCTTCCTTTCTTCAAGGATTTAAAAGTTGTCTAATGCTTACATATGGTTGGAGGGCGCCGTTGGTGGGCCCTACTTCTTTACTTTCCCTGTTTCTGTCTTACTTTTTTCCCCAGCACTAAATGACCATTATTGTGGCAATGTGCTTCTCTTTACTCAAACTAACAAGACTTAATGGGTGGTTGACGGGTGCTCTGGGGTGGTTTGCTTCTTCTTTCCTATCAAACATCTATCATCCTTATCTCCCCTTTTTCTTTTTTATGTTTGTTTCTCTCTTGTAACACCTCTAATCTTCTGGTGCTCATATGACCTTATGCAGTTGCGAGTGCCGTAAAACCTCTACTAAAACTTTTTTTAAAAACCCCTCTACTAAAGCAAACGTTACCTTTTTATTCACTAAATGTCTAGTTGCGTCTGTTCACTTCTTATAATCTTAATATTTTCTTAAATTTCAGAGTGGGTGGTTGGCGGGTGCTCTGGTGTGGTTTGCTCCTTCGTTCCTAAAAACATTTATCGTCCTTATCCCTCCCCTTCTTTCTTGTGTATGCTAATCTCTTGTGACACATCTATTTTTTGGCACTTAAATGACCTTGTGTTGCAAGTACCATAAAACTTATACTTAAACTTTTTTAAATTTCAGGTTTCTCGTGTTCCTGCACATGTTTTTATATTGATTAGATGTTTGGGCATCTCCGGGCTTGCTTGCAGTCATAGATATTTTCATTTACTTGGAAGTTAAAGGTTCGGAGGGCGGAACTTCTGGTTGGTCCTTTTGTGATATACTTTTCAAGAGTCATATTTTCCCATTGTGTTCATGTCTTCTCTTCCCCCCCCCCCCCAACTTTTTGTGGACTTGGTTCTGTCAATTCTTGTTTCACTAGCTTGATGAGTATGTGCATGTTTCTTTTACACTTAACACAAGCACATAATGAATGACAGAAATTAGAATCTATTATTTTTTTTGCTTTCAGCTGAAGCAGACAACCAAGACGATGATGGAGAAAATGAGGGCGAAGAGGAAGAAAATGAAGAAGATGGAGAAAAAGAAAATGAGGAAGATGCTGCAGATAAAGAAAATCCAGAGGCAGAAGGGACGGAAGAAAAAGATGGGGTATGCGAGGACCATTTATATTTCTAATTTGGCTTGTTTGTGCTCTCACAACCAAAGATGCAGGAATGTCATGTAGGCTTAGGCTTAACTTTCCTTTGAGACCTATGTGCATCTAAAAGCTCCAAGAATCACGTAAAGGCTGTAGATGTTAGTTCAAATTGATTTGGTTTTGGTTCTTTTTTTTTTTTTAAGAGGACAGTAATCCAACCGCTACAGATAATTGAGGCACAGATTTCTCTATGTGAGTAGCGTATACACGGCCTCACGGGCACTCGCGGCCTTCCGACCGCATGGTATCGGGGTAATTCCGATCGCTGGTTCTTTTTTACAATGGTGTCAGTTGTTTATATGTCCGATTATTAGGAGCTGGAGAATTGCAGACGAAAGCGAAGCCCCTCGCTGTCGGAATGTGTGGTCGGTCCAAAAATTGACACGCGTGCATTCAAATGCTTTGCGGAACGAGGGATGATTAAATACCGTCTTTTCATTGGCAGAGAACTGTAGAGCTTTAAACAGGCTTTCCCATGGTATATATTTGGCCTGTGGCGTTTAAATAGAAAGCTTTCAAAAATACTGTCAAAATGTTTAAAGATCACTTTTTACACAAAATATGTAAAATACCGGCTTAGAAAAGGTATCAATTAAAAGATCAGTTTATTTCCTATTAGAATAAAGTAATCAGCTTGGAATTATTTTTCATCAATCCTTCCGCAAGGGTCGGAGAGCATGTGACCCCCGCACGCAAGGTACACTACAGTATAGAGCCGACTCGCTCGCCGCGGGGCCTGATGCGGTGCCGACCGGGTCAACGCTCTGTGTTTTTGTCGAAATAACGACAGGTCATCGTGTTTGAGGCGATAAAGTACTGATTTGTAATGATCTCAGTCTTGAAAAAAATTAGGCTCCATATATTTGTTAGTGATTGCACTTTGTTAATGTGGAGATGTCTAGTGCACTTGGTACTCTTTTATTGTCTGTCAAACATGGGGTTGCAGCCAGTGACTGACTTTAACAAATTTGATCAAATTTTAAACAACCACCATTATCTTAAAAATTGAGTGAGAGGTTAAAGAATGGTACCAAAATGCTTTGTGGATATAGGCCTTTCAAATGGAACAGATAAATTTGGCATACAGCTACTTTGAAAATTTAGTTTCTGGTACCTTCTCTATGCCTCATCAGCTTCTGCCGTATCCATCCCTTTTCCTTTTCATCATATTCAAGAAATAAAGTGCAAATTTGACTTTCACGGCCCAGGACAGTGCTACTGACTGAAGGTGTCTTTAGGCCATTCCCAAAGGGGGGATATTAACATGTTCTTATGCTCAGTAGAATTGCAAATGGGCTGCTTTATCAATGTCGTGCTCATACTGTCGCTGAACAACACAGGGGGAACTGCTGCTTTTTCTTTCCTCATCCTTACTATTGTCATTTTTCCTCTACTTCTTTTGTATGTTTGTCACTCTCTTGTGAACTGCTATTTCTGGAATGCCTTGCTGGTCGAAGCAGACTTTGTGCTGTTGAAGCTAGAGAGGTGAGCAGAGTTAGTCTGATTCCTTGTAAGGACTTCTCTGTTGACCTCCACCCCTTGGCGCTCATATGAACTTATGCAGTTGCAAGCGCCGTAAAACCTCTACTGAAACCCCCAAAAATAAGATTCTGATGTATGTGTGTTTGGTTTTGTTTGGAGGTGGGGGGTTTTTTGTGTGTGTGTGTGTGTTTTTAAAAAATAAATATATAAAATTGGTTGGCGGGTGCTCTCTATCAAACATCTATCGTCCTTATCTCCCCTTTTTTAATGTTTTGTTACTCTCTTGTAACACCTAATCTTCTGGCGCTCATATGACCTTATGCAGTTGCATAAAGACAAAATATATGAAATGTGAATGTGTTCGTCTCCAGGATGATTTGGGTCACTTCCAGCTGGCATGGGAACACCTGGACATTGCCAAAGTCTTATACAGCAAGTATGTGAACACAGTGCATGTGGGAGACTTCTGGTTGATCACTCTGAGGGGTTTTTGTGGGGGGTTTTCCTTCCGTGTCCTTATTTTGGTGCCGATATTTGTAGGTTCCGTAAAAATGTGTTGAAATGGTGTAAATTATGTTTCAAAATGTGAAAATAAGTCGTCTTCTTCATCCCTAACATTTAATAAAGGTATGCCAAAAAATCCCCTGGGGGCTGCTTCTAAGTGATGACATAAGTGTGTTTGTTGCCCTTCGTCTGTGCTATTACATTTTGAAAATAGTGAAAGGAGTGAACAATAACCTTTGCAATATTTACGCTGAGAGAGTTGTTTCCTTTGGAAGGGAGGAAAAATGAAACTGCAGTGACAAGCATAACACAGAGATGAAGACTTGTTGAAAATACTCGTAACACTGCCATAAGCTGACAAAACGCTTTTTTTTTTTTTTTTTTTTAATTTTCTCTCTCAGCGTAACCATTTAAAAGTAGAATGATTCCGAAATTTGAATTTATTCATAAACTAGTAACTTTCCCCTTTGATTTTTTCACACAAGTAAGATTACTGATCCGACTTTCGATTTAGCAAATAAAAAATGTTGGTGGAAAAGGTCGTTTTGTCGGGTTACGGCAGAAATGGTAGGGGGTGCCAGCAGCCCGGTGTGCCCATGGTTTTTTTTTAAGTTGCCTCTGTTAAAAATAATAATAATAAGAGTGGCTCTATCACTGCTTAGAATTTTGTTCATTGGGTCATCATCTCTGCATTACATGTCACTGCCGTTTCCCCCCTTTTTTTCTTTTTTCTTTTTGTTTTTAGTGGCTAAAGTGAAAGTGCTTTAGGTTTAGCACGTGCCATGTTAGGTTCTGAATTTAGAACTCTTGGGCTTGATACTTTACTGTTGTGATCAAATTGTGTTCCATAACTATGTGAAACGATTGCTTAAACGTCACATAAGCAACAGCATTATACAGTATAACATGCATAGCTTTCATTTGTCGGGACTTGCCTCTGTAGTTCAAGGGATATTTTACAATGATAAAGAAGAGAAGAAAAACAGGACCGCAGGCATATTTTGACGAATGCGTGATTTCAAGTCTTTTTGTGTTTGACCTATTCCATGTTAATCTGTAATTGTAATGAAAGAGATGTAAACTGAAACTTTTGCAATTTGCTCTTTGGTTCCTACAGGAAAGAAGAGAAAGGAGACCAACTGAAGGCTGCTGAGTGTTTGATCAAACTTGGGGAGCTGGGCATGGAAATAGGTAGGACATTTTCATAATTGCTCTCTTTGCTGACAAAATGTTTAGGGCAGCAAAACTTATTTAATTCTCATCACTGCTTTTTCTCCATTTTAGGACCATGTTTCTATCAGATCTTTTGAGGGTTAGTGTTGATAAGGGCAGTAAACCTATGTCATTTTCATTTTTTGGTTGAAGCTTGTTTTGAGAAGTGAGAGTAAGCTCTGACAGAAGCATCAGCCCCCAACAGTAAGAGCTGTGTCACATGATGGATCGTCTTGTGCTATAAATTATTATAAATTGCTTTCTTTCTTTTTGTTTGTTTTTTTCCTTTCTTTCTTTTCTCTCTCTCTCTTTTTTTTAAAAATAATGGGAGAATGTCGTTTGGTGCTCATAAGTACCCAAAGTACCCAACATTCGTACACCGACAGGGTGTCAAAGGCTGCTAGATGTTTATAATTTTTTAGTTAAAAATTATTTTTTCCCTCTCGGTGTGTCTTGTTGCTTCTAATTTGTTCTTAATTTCTCCGCAGTTTGTTTTGTGAACTTCTCAGTTTCTTCTCGCTTTTCTTTGCTTTGTGGATGTTGTCTCATTGTCCTACTGTTTATAACGCTAACCCAGGAACTACAATTAAGAAAAACAGATGCTTAGAAGCACAACCTGATTGCTAAAATGATCAATATGTCAATAGAGCTGTGGAGGGCATACTGTTACTCAAACCGGGAACTCTATCCCATAAATTTCAGCAAATTATAGTTACACCTTTTTTTTTCTGCTTCCTTTAGAATGTGGGTGGTTGGAAATGGTTTTGGTGTGGTTCACTATTTTATTCCTATCAAACATCTATCATCCTTATCTCTGTATATTTCTGTCTTGTAACACCTGTAACCTTCAGGACCTATATGACTTATTTGGGTTTCAAGTGTTGTTAAACTCATACGACTCCCAAACCTCCCACACAGAAAGGTTAGATCCTAAGTTTTCTTTTCCTCTATTGTTTCTGTCTCTCTGTCTTGCGTCTTCCCTGCACGAAATGACCGTATTCTTGTTTCATTGTACTTCTCTTTACTCCCAACTCCAACCGTGTGTGGTTGACAGGTGCTCTGGGGTGGTTTGCTCCTTCTGTCCTATTCTTCGGCACTTATATGACCTTATTGTGTTGCAAGTGCCGTAAAGCTTACTAAAAACAAAAAAATCTCCAACCCACAGAGCAACACGAAACTGCTGCCACGGACCTCGAGGCGGCTCTGGTCATCCAGAAGAAATACCTGGCGGAGGACAACCGATCCCTCGCCGAGACACACTACCAGCTGGGCTTGGCTTACAGCCTGACGAAGGAGTTTGAGAAGGCCATTCAGGCATACCAGTCGGCAATCAGTGTCATTGAGGCTAAAATAGGTTGGTGGTCCATTATTATGAGAGGGGGGGGGGGGTTTCTCCTCCTCTTTTCACTGCGGTCGTGAGGTCTGCATGCAGCTAGATGGCATTTCCAATTCTGATTCTCACTACTTTCTCTTCTTTTATCTCAAAACCAGAGCTTCCAGTCTTCCGCAAATTTGCAGAATTTCGCAAATGAAAAAATTTCCGTGAAAATTTGTGCAAAAAAAAATTATACTAATATTGTACTATTAAATAATGGATTCTACACTTTGGCATGGTATGGTAGTATGGGGTTTTACGGCGCTCGCAACTGCTAAGGTCATATGAGCGCCTTCTACACTTTAGATCTAGATCTGTATGGTGCAAACCAACACATGCAGAAAAATAGTTGAACATTAACTGTCAAGTTTTAGAGATCTAGCTGTTATACTACTGTTGTGGATGTACAGTATCAGTACAACAGAGATGCCAACCAGTACGATTTTGCGTATTTTAGTACGATTTTTGGCCGAAAATACGCGAATACGACTTTTCATGAAAAAATACGCATCTTGGAATGCGAAAACTACGAGATTCAGCTTGGGCGAGTAAACCGAATTATATCAGGTCCCATCTTTTAGTATCCGTATCGCAGAACTGGAATATTTCAAAACCAAGTCCGATGTGGTCAGTGAGTTCAATTTTGCCGGTCGCGATCATGATATTATATTCGTTCAGCTTTTCCCCGTCTGGAGAGTACGTTTCACTTTCACGCGAAAAGGCAGCTATGGCGGCAGGCGGAAGCGTATGTGACACCGAAGCTCGATCGGGAAAATCAAGATCTGCTTTCGTTACCACCGAGAAGTTTGCCAGCAGTTGTCTGATAACGCAACATTTGTGGCATGCAGGTTGTGCTGTATAAACACAATGTCGCCGTGCAAATAAAATAGAATAAATACTCTGACTCGTCGCTGTGCTGTCACCTGTGGGGGGAGAAAAGAAAAGAAAAGAAAATACAAGCGTCGTCCGATTTTTAGATTCGTCTGGCTCGCCATCGTGACCGGTCACTGACCCTGCGCGCATTCGCGTCACAAATAAATGCGGCATCGTGTGAGAAAACACCGTGTTTGGTGGGAGTAACGGCGTTGCGAAGTATAGGACTACGGAATAGGGGAGGAGATTATTGATTTTTTTTTTGGGGGGGGGGGTTAAGGCAACACCAGAGGACAAAAACTTGGAAGCAATTTTCAGAATTTTGATTAGTTTTCTGCAAAGCGCGCGTTGGTGCAGGCCATGTGAGGAATCGGGACCCCTCATACTTTAGCAAGTCTGTGTTATTGAAATAAAGTGTTCGCGTTTCATTGGATGGGTGATAGTAAATTATACCTACTTGGATGGGTGATAGTAAATTATACCTACAGTG